CTGTTTATTCCCCTTCTTGGTTTGCATCTGAATAAAGTATATCCTTTTATTGCAAATAAAAGAAAAAAATATTAAAATGTCCTGCAAAATCTTGAAGAATTGTTTAAACAAAATTAAGCAGTCTAAATAAACTTCTTCCCTCTCCAATTCTAATTCAAGAATACAGATCTTTACAAAAACTGAATATGCCTTTTCAGAAATCAATTTACATATTAATAAAGTATCCATTGCCATCCAGTCGATTCTGACTCCTAGTGACTCCGTGAGACAGAATAGAACTGCTACAGAGGGTTTCCAAGGTTTAATCTACAGCGTTCTGGTGGCGCAGTGCCTAAGGCATTTGACTGCTAACCAGAAGGCTGGTGGTTCAAACCCACCAGCTGCTCCTCTTCCATAGATATACCACCTCGGAAACCCAAGGAGGGATTGCTGTGAGTCGAATTGACTTGACGGCAGTGAGTTGTCTTTTTTTTTTTAAATCTATTGAGAAGCAGAAACAGCTGGTGGGTTTGAATCACTGACCTGATTAGCAACCGAGCTCTTAACCATCATGCGACTCACTCAGAAAACCAAAACTCACTTCCATCCAGTTGATTCCAACTCATAGCAAACTGCTTTGGGTTTCTGAGGTGGTAAATCTTTACTGAAGTAGATTGCCCAGTCTTCCTTCAGCAGAGTGGCTGGTAGGTTTGAACTGCCAACCTTCCGGTTAGCAGTCAAATGGCTTAGGCACTATGGCACCAGACATCCTTACCACACCACTAGGGCTCCTTATTAATCAACTGTTGTTGTTGTTATGTGCTGTCCAGTCGGACCCGACTCATAGCGACCCCTCCTTGGGTTTCTGAGACAGTATCACTATGGAAGTAGATTGCCCCATCTTCCTTCGAGGAGTGACTCACTATGAAAACAGTGTTAAGCAATTTTTTCAATTACTACAAATGTAAAAAAGCATTTTTTTTCCCTATAATACTGTTAAATCTTCTCAAGAACCAGAAGTACCACCATGTATATAATCCTCACATGAGTTTTGCTGTAGAGAAAATCAAAGGTAAAGGTTAAATAGTTTTCTCTCTTTCTGGTAGGGCCCTTATTATCTATCTTCTCTGCTTCAAGATAAAACTATCCAAACTCAGGATGTGGGTGTGGATATGTCTAACAGTTTTTCTTATTTCCTACCAAATTATTAGACTTGTAACTTTGCAAAAGACATTGAGAAATCACATGGATCAGCTGTGAATCTTGCGGATCTGCCTGTTCTAGAAAGGCATTTTTTATTCTAACATAACTAGGCATCACTGCCTTAACTGAAATTGGTTTATGGTTTTACTTCAAAAAAAAAAAAAAACCACAAATCTTGGAGGAATTAGATCATAAGGTAGTAATATATAATGCCAATGATTGTATGCTTACCAAAAACAAAATGAAACAAAAAACAAAACTCAATGCCATCAAGTCGATTCTGACTCACAGTGACCCCCTTTGGGTTTCCGAGGCAGTAAATTTTTATGCCACCAGATTGCCCCATCTTCCCTTAACAGAGCGGCTGGTGGGTTTGAACCACCAATCTTCTGGTTAGCAGTCAAATGCCTTAGGCACCACCATATGTATATGGTGGCATGGTGCCTAGGGCATTTGACTGCTAACCAGAAGGCTGGCAGTTCAACCATCCAGCCATTCCTCTTGCATAGAGATACTGCCTCAGAAACCCAAGGAGGGGTTGCTATGAGTTGGATTCGACTCAATGCCAGTGAGTTTGGTTTTTGGTGTGTGTGTGTGTGTGTGTATATATATATATATATATATATATATATGTAATCAGACTGCATATATGCAATGATATTTGACCTAGAACTAGAATTATTGCAGAAAAAAATCAATATGCATCTTAGTTGATGTTTTCAACAGCAGGGGTTTGAAGTAACCACGGAGTCTCAAATATCTAGAATTCTTTGGGCACTCTATTCTCTATTCCTGCTCTACCTAAGATGTTTGATATTTCAGGAATACAATTCTCTATTCTGTAATTCTATTTTCATAGACAGGTGATGGTTGTAAATCTTTGCTAATCTCAAATAATCTCAAAATTTTATGCCTTTATCAACCTCCTAATTGATAAAGTAAGAATTTTCTTGTAGAAAAGAATTTTAAGGTTTACTTAATAACACAGTTGTATCTGACCAAAGAAAAATCGATAATTTACAATTAATATTCTAATCTTTCATTTGTATTATAGTGTTATGTGATGGCCTAAGCACAAAAATCTACTGTCATCAAGTTGATTCTGACTCATAGCAATACTTTAGGACAGAGTAGAACTGCCCCATAGGTTTTCCAAGGCTGTAAATCTTCGTGGAAGTAGACTGTCTCATGAAATGCCTGGTGGGTTCCAATTGCAGACCTTTTGGTTAGCAGCCAAATGCCTTAACCACTGCACAATGAGAGCTCCTTAGTCTGAGCACAGGAGCCTGACAAATGCTCTCCCAGTGGTCTCCCATTTATGCGTATCAGGAATATATGTTTTTTGTTGCTCTTGTTATTCTTATTTGTGTTGTTGTTATTATTTTAAGCAAAGATTCCCTGTGTAATTTAAAATCTTTGGAAACCTTTGGGGAAATCTTATGTTTCACTGGCCCAGACATTCTTGCTTCTTTCTCATATTGGATTTACAGTTTCATTTTCATCCCAGTATTGTTTCACTACAGGCCCTTCCACATACTGGACAACAAAACTGTTACTTTGCAAGCACCTGCCTAAATTTTCACAGAGTATCTATCTTTCCTTCTCTTCCTCTGGGTTCTACTTTCTGCAAGTGTGGAGCAGAGACAGAGGAAAGACAGAACGACAGTCTGGACGTCCTGACTCCAAGAGCCTTGCCTTGACTACCCTGAAAGGGTCATTTCTCTTTATAAATAGCCTGCATTTCTCTAATATGGTGGGAGGCAACTGATGTCTAACTTACATCAAACTTTTCAACCAGCTTTCAGCTTGCTTTTCCTTAGGGCCAGAATTTGCTTTTAAAATGAGGTTCTCCAAAGCCCAGGCTACTTACTATGTGCAATAGTGTTTCATTTTTTTTTCTGGTATAGGAAGACATTCCTCTAAGCGAAAGAGAATGTTAAATTAAAAAATAAAAAAAGGTAATATCGGTTCCCCTCCGTGGTTGTACCCCTGGCCTATCTCTGCTATTTAATATAGGGTCTTTTTTTGCCCATATATGCTATGGGTTGATGCTTAGACGAATAGGCAGGAGGGACAGGGTGGCACCTATTACGTTTCCATCTTTGTATTGTACAAATAAAAATCAGGCTTCTTTTACATATTTATTTTATTTTTCCCAGTTTACTAAAAACGAAAGCCTGGTTCCCTGGCCCATTGTGCGGTGAACTCCCCCACATTAGTCATTCCTCTGATTAGTTTAAAAGGAAACTGCAGGCTGTAGAGAGCAGCCTGAAGCAGCAGGGGGAGAAAACTTGTAACAGCTGTCTGGTGTCTTGCCAAGGGGCAAAGTTCTCTCATTGGATAAAAACCATTTTTCTCCTCTTATCCATTGCTTCCCGCTGCACTACCAAAGGGCCTGTGCAAACAGGCAGATCTGCCAAGCATAACACAATCACACCTAACCAGCGGTGGCAGCCAGCCACGGGAGATAGGTGCTGGACCAGCCCGCGCTGCTCTTAGGTTCACCCTTTCATCTCAGGGATGTCTGGGCAGGTCCTCCTTTCTACTCTTGTGCTGGTATGAATGTTTCCAGAAAGATGCTGTCATTTTTAAGTTTTGGTAATAGCTTTCTTCTTTTTCTTCCCTCCACCCCCGCCCCCCTCAAATTTTAAACTATCTTAGAGCTTTTCAAAAGGTACCTGGAGACATAGATAATGTCCCTGATTTATTCCTTACACTTAAGGAGTTTAAAAAAAAATTGGTGGAAATCAGGCAAGTCTTACAAAACTCAAGACAGAAATAAATGATCCTTTAGATAGTGTGTGCTATAGCTACAAATTAAAACTGTATCTATGAAAAGAATACAACTTAATACCTGAGAGATACAGCTGCAATAGGAGAATTTTCTAGGAATTTTTGAAGGAAAATAAGTGAATATGACCATTTGAATTAGTTGTAGCATTTTCCCACACTTTCTCTCTGTCCGTCCCTCTCTCTCTCTCTCTTTTCCGTACGGAGTTTTCATTCCTGGTCATTCTTATCTGCATATGTTGCTTGGCATCTCAAATTACTTTTCAATCTGTGTGCTGCCCAGCTATGTAATATCAAAGCAATAATTCTACTGGTCTGAATGTACTAAAATAACAATATTTGGTTCAACGTGTACTATTTTAAACCTCAGGGAGTAACTCTACCAAATCACTTGCATTTGTGAAAGCAGAGTGGAGACGTGAACCTGAGAGATCACACATAGCAACCGAGAGAATAAAGATCTGATTCAAACGCTGGCAGCAGGCCATGAGGAAAAGCTTGCCATGAGTAAAAAATACATTTTCAAAGATCATTTTATAATAGTCGATAGAACCCAGGTGTTCCTTCTTTCCCTTTCTGCTTAGATTTTGTTACACTTCAACCTTTTGTCAGAGGTGGATAATAAGAAAAATTGTCATATTTATTTCTTTGCTAACTGTTCATATGATCACCTATATTTCCTTACATTAAAAATTCTAACTATTTAAGACTTTGATATCAAAACTGGGTCCTGGAGATCATGATATGAATTCTTTTGAAATATTGGCTACTGCATAGCTGCAACTACAAAGCAAAAGAGATTTTTTTTCTTTCTTTAAGTAGGAGGGCTGTTTCAAAAACATAATACAGGCAAAATCTTGCTTTTGCTTTGATTCTAACAATAGACAAACCTGATTGTTCCATAGGCATCATGAGCTCTAAAGCCACTGTGAATTGTCTTTGATCAAGCCTCAAACCGGCAGCCTGTGATTGGACAAGAGCTTTGTGTCCTCTGAGCTCCATATCCATTTGGAGCCCCTGCTTAATCTATTAAATATAGGCTTTCCTCCATTATCAAGTTGCCAGATTCTGCTTGGCTGGAGACAAAGTATTGGAAACAATGACTGAAGACACAGATCTTTAGATCAAGAACCAAATGGCTAATATTGTCAGACATTTCAAAGCTCTTTGGTGCAGACCTGGCAGAAATAAATTGATATCAAGAACGATTTGTTTCTTAATATCAGATATATTAGATTTCAGTGAAAGATAATATAACAAAGTAAAATAATCAGAAATTTTTTTTAATAGAAAATCATGAATGGATTTTTAGGACATCTTTTTAATATATTTATTTTTTTCTAATGCAGTTAGGTATTATGATTATATTGGTATAAAATTTTCAGTCAGGGGTCATCTACTGTGACTAACTGCAGGATCTTTAGCTCCTGAGAATGATCCTTGAAAGCTTTGCTTGAGAAGGAAAGGATGTTAATGGTGTCTTGACTCAGTTATTAGTAGCACTGAGAAGGTTGAACAATCTACTTCTGTAGTGATACTGCCTCAAAAACCCAAGGAGGGATCACTATGAGTTGGGTCCGGCTCCATGGTACATAACAACAACAATATAACTGGCTCAATTCTGTAGAGACTATGTTTTCATTTTGCCTAAAAAAAACTGCAGTAGGAGAAAAACATCCCTTTCCTGTGAACTTTCCATAATGTCACTGATTTTATTCGCTATTCCTGCATCATATAATCAGTTTTTTTAATTTTATAATGAGCAAAGGAATATATTAACCCCGTTAAGAATTTGAATGTGATATGATAACAAGTTTGTTCTATCTGAGGTAATTTTCCGAATTGTTGAAATTATAAAATAGGCTTAACATGTGGGGTGTTCTTTGAAGAAAGAATTAATCTTCCTATTTTTTCATGTTCTCTGGCTAATACTTGCTGCCATCGAGTTGATTCTGACTCACAGTGACCCCATAGGACAGAGTAGAACTGCCCTTCAGGGCTTCTAAGGTTGTGATCTTTACAGAAGCAGACTGCCACATCTTCTCTTTTCTTTTTAACTTTTTATTGTGATTTGCATGAAATTTTACAAAGCATATTCATTTTAAATCCAACAATTCTTACACATTTTGTTTTGTGACACTGGTTACATCCCTGCAGTGTAACACCTCACCTCACACTTCCTCCCTGTGGTTGCCCCTTCTTGGCTATGCATTGCTGCCTCCCTGTCTTCCTCCCTGTGCAAATGCTGCCCTCTAATTTCCCATGGTTGATTGTTCTAAGGAGTGCCTCTCCGTGGTGCAGGTATTCAGCTCATAGGTTTGTCTGCAGTTTGGCTGAGAGTTAAGCCACAGGAGTGAGATCAATTCCAGGCCTGAATGGTGACTCAGGGTCATAGACTCAGGAGTTTTACCAGTCTCTATCAGACAAGTAAAGCTGGTCTTTTTTATGATTTTGAGGGTTTTTTTTTTTTTCCCACATTTTGCTCCCATTCTATAGAGTCCATTTCTGATCCCTTTCCAAGTGGTTCACATTGGTACTGGGTACTATCTAGTTCTTCTGGTTTCAGAGTTATATAGGTTGAAGTTTTCATGGTTCATTAGTCCTTTGGAATAACTGCTTCCATGTATATTTGATTTTCTTCACTTTTCTTTGCTCTGGATGAGCAGAGACCAATACTTGCTAGTTAGATATCCACTCTCAACCTTTTAAGACCCCAGTTGCTACTCTCTGAGGTAAAATGTAAAACAGTATTTTTGTGTACTATGCTGTGTCAATTGAGCTTGATTTCCCCTGTGACCATGGTCCCCAGCCTGTAGGCCCAGGTACCCATTTTCTCAAGGCACCAATTTAAGTCATTATTATAAAAAGTAAAGGAAAGGTTTATATAAGGCAGGAACGTTTCTTTGTTGGTTACCAGGGATGGGAGGGGAGGGGAGGAAACACTGCAAAATTAATTAATTATTTTTTTAAAAAAGAAATTACCCTAACTTTGCTTCCTGTTTAGACTGCATATGGACATTTTTTGTAGCACATAAAAATACATATGTAGAAATATTGTCTCCAAAACCTATGCATGGTCATGGGTATATTCCCATTTGCCTATATACCTCTGACCATACCATAGATTAGTGTTTGATGCTACTGATATTACTGATAATAGCATTGTGTCTGCAATAGTATTTGCCTTTACTATATGTGCTCTGTGCAATTCTCTGTATCTCATTTTTCCTTAGTGCCACACCTTTTGTTATGATGAGTGGCTGGTGGGTTCGAACTGCTGACCTCTCACTCAGCAGCTGAGCTCTCTCTTAGCCAGTGTCACCAGGGCTCCTTTTTTTCTCTGGGTAATTGAGCGTACTTTGCACGAGTTTGAACTTTTTATGTATTACCACCAGGCGGCAGAATATACTAACTTTTGAATCCATGTGTGCTAGAATCACCTTACAGGCAATTTGAGGCTGAAGTGGAAAATTCCCTGAGGGTTTCTTCACAGATTCTTTAGGGGAAGAGCTGTTGAATTGTTCACAGTATAATTTTCACACCAGTTATAAATAACTAGGTAATTACAATAGCAAACTATTAAAGGTCTTTTAAATGTAATTTTTTTGTGACCATCTGTTGATTTGTTCTTTTTTCAATTTTTAATAAATATGATTTTAATCTACAACTTTGATCTTAAATTTACCCAAAGAAAATGGAAAATAATGATTTTTTTATATTTCCATATTTATAGATCAGTTTCTTAACAATTATTTCAATTTAAATTTCATATACCTTCATGAGAAACAATAAATAATCCAAATTCACTGTGTAAGTGAGCAAAATAGATAAATGTAATTTCAGATACTTTAGAGAGATAAACTGTACTTAAATATAT